CAAACACGCCTGGGATTCTTGCCCTCCTGTTGAAGAGATCAAAGCACAGCAGAAAACTCTGCCTGCCTGAATCCTTGAAATACAGGCCCAAGCAGCAAGTGGGAGCACTCTCGCTCTCTCACTCCCTTGCTAACAAGGACTCTCTTGCTAATAAGGACTCTCGCTCCACAGTGCCTGCGGCTCAGCATTTCTTATGCCAAACAATATCCACTTCTGATACTCTGTCAATAACATCCTTTCCCCATTATTATTAGGATTCTAATTAGGATCTGCTGAAGGAAAATGAATTTCCAATTCTCCTGGCAGATTTCCTGCTGCTATTTGGGCTTCACCCTGAGTCCTCGCTGCCCTTTGAATCATTTCTCTCTCTGTACCATCAAAGAACACCTGCATAATAGCTTCAATATCCTGCCAATCAGGGTCCTGAGTTTATCATCATCTCAAAAGTATGTGCAAATTTATAAGAATCATCTCTATAGTTTCCTGCAGCCGCTTTCCAATTACTCGGATCTATGATTGAAAAAGGTACTTCCACTAAAACCGGACCATCGTTTCCAATAGCCTGCCTTAAAGGAGCCTGCAACATTGCTCCTTGCCTACTACGAGTTCTTTCAGCCACAGGGGTTGGTTCAGACACACATTCCCCAAAATCACCGTCCAACTCCCCTTCCTCAATCCTATGGTCTTGAAATCTCTACGTTATACCAGGAGCCACTAACATCTCCAATTCCTCCTCCTGCCCCCTCTGAGCTAACTTCAAACACCTCTGCCCAATACTACATGCTGAACATCATCTTTTCAATCCCTTCTCTTTTTCCTTCTTTTTCCTATCCTTTTCCATAGCCAACACTAAAGGATCTGATGGTGGCAAATTTATTCTACATTTCTTTTGCCATTCTGGATGCTGTCTTAAAGACAAAAACATATCTGCATACAAAACTTCATCCCATTTCCCCTCTCTTCTTAAAAACAACATTAGCTTCAAGATAGTATTATGGTTCAAGTAACCATTCACAGACCAATTTTCTCCATCCTCCAATTTATACAATGGCCACCACTGACTACAATATTTAATCAGATCTTCTTTTAACTACCCCACCTGGGGCCCCAGCAATTTGCTTCCAATTACTCAACATACAACCCAAAGGAGACTTTTTCAAAATTCTACTGGTAGATGATCCAGCACCTATTATTATACACACAGAATAATACACTCACACAAGTGTTCCTGACTACAATAGCTATACAAACATCATCTACCAAATGGGGATTCCAACCCCAGCCCAGGTCCTAAACCCAACCCTGCGGAGCTCTCACTGAGTCTTATGGGCAGGTATTCAAACCAAATTAAAGTAAAAGAAAGCCTTATACTTACAAATCAGTGGCCCTTGCTTCAAGGCTCGTCGGTCCAGGGATTGGGGTTCCCTCTGAGAATTCCTCAGTACCAGCTGAGTTGCGCAACCCCAGGATCCATTGAGGCTCAAAAGCAGAGTCCCATCTGGGTTGCCAAAACTGTTACTACAAACCAGCAGATAAAACTTTCTGAGACTCAATTTAAAGTTTAGAAAGCAGGCATTCTCTATTGAGGGGCTGAGTGCACAGGGGATAGATCCTCTTATTGTGCATACTGAATACTGTTGTCAAATTAAATTTATACACAACAGCTATACATATTCAATGTAATTCCAATAAAACATTAACATATTCATTACATTTCTGAGAATTCATTTACATATTATAATAAGCTTTTGGGCATGCGTAGTTGTGCCTTCATTTGAGTGAGGGTCGTTTCTTTCTCAATCTTCTTCACCTGTCCTTTGACTCACTTTTCATGTTGGCAAAACATTCTAACTGCTTAATTGCTCATTAAAACTAATGACCTCCCTGCTACCACCTGTTTGTCAGACAATGTCCATATTTATTGCATCCCTGTCTTAGGTCACCATGTTCTCAGGGCCACATACATCCTTTCTTATCTTACTATGTCCTTGAAATCATTTGGGATGGTTACTGGGACAGCTATGTTTCTTCTCTAAAAGATTTTCTACAGTTTAACCATTTATAAACTACATAAAATCAGCCTTAGGTATCAGCATAAAGCAGTTGGGTCGCAGTCAGATCACGTGTGATGGGAAGTCAGGCATAAGGCTCCTTGTGCCCACACCTTTCTCTAGTCCTTGATAAATGAATCTTGGTGAAGCCGCCTGCTATTCACAGAACCGAATCACAGAACAGTTTGGGCTGGCAGAGCCCTTTACAGGCCATCTCGTCCAACCCCTTGCAGTGAGCACGGACATCTTCACCAAGGCCAGGAGGGTCACCACTCCATCCATGTGGTGCTCATGCAGTTGGGTGACCAAGGCCTAAGCCTGGCCACCACTGCTAGCTGTGTCACCCTGCTCCTCGGTGGGTTTCCAGAGGGCAGATGAGACCAGAGGATCTGTGGCTGCGGCTCAGCCTCCCCCTCCTCCAGAGCCTGCACCAAACCCTGCTGGTCTGGCCATGGTGCCCAGCGCAGCTGGCACAACCCCCAAGAGTCAGATTACAAAAACGGCACATAGCACCCCCAGAAAATCAAAATATGCCCTGCAGGAAGTTTAAAATAAAAAGAGGGAAACCAAAAACCACACCCAAGAAGTCAAAAAGACAGACCCCAGAAATAAAAAATAATAATAATTAAAAAAACCCAACAACAAAAAACCCCAATCACTCCCAAGAGATTTATAACAAACAGAAAGTCAGCTCCGGGACATTAAAAGGAAAAGAAAGAAAAACCGAGCCCAGCAGAGGGACGAGGGGGGGTGGGAAGCGCAGGGGCTGCGGAGGGACTGGGGTGGGGGGCAGCGGCATGGACCGCGCATGCGCAACGGGGCAGCCGACGCGTCCGCGCGGCACGGCAAATTTATTCTACATTTCTTTTGCCATTCTGGATGCTGTCTTAAAGACAAAAACATATCTGCATACAAAACTTCATCCCATTTCCCCTCTCTTCTTAAAAACAACATTAGCTTCAAGATAGTATTATGGTTCAAGTAACCATTCACAGACCAATTTTCTCCATCCTCCAATTTATACAATGGCCACCACTGACTACAATATTTAATCAGATCTTCTTTTAACTACCCCACCTGGGGCCCCAGCAATTTGCTTCCAATTACTCAACATACAACCCAAAGGAGACTTTTTCAAAATTCTACTGGTAGATGATCCAGCACCTATTATTATACACACAGAATAATACACTCACACAAGTGTTCCTGACTACAATAGCTATACAAACATCATCTACCAAATGGGGATTCCAACCCCAGCCCAGGTCCTAAACCCAACCCTGCGGAGCTCTCACTGAGTCTTATGGGCAGGTATTCAAACCAAATTAAAGTAAAAGAAAGCCTTATACTTACAAATCAGTGGCCCTTGCTTCAAGGCTCGTCGGTCCAGGGATTGGGGTTCCCTCTGAGAATTCCTCAGTACCAGCTGAGTTGCGCAACCCCAGGATCCATTGAGGCTCAAAAGCAGAGTCCCATCTGGGTTGCCAAAACTGTTACTACAAACCAGCAGATAAAACTTTCTGAGACTCAATTTAAAGTTTAGAAAGCAGGCATTCTCTATTGAGGTGCTGAGTGCACAGGGGATAGCTCCTCTTATTGTGCATACTGAATACTGTTGTCAAATTAAATTTATACACAACAGCTATACATATTCAATGTAATTCCAATAAAACATTAACATATTCATTACATTTCTGAGAATTCATTTACATATTATAATAAGCTTTTGGGCATGCGTAGTTGTGCCTTCATTTGAGTGAGGGTCGTTTCTTTCTCAATCTTCTTCACCTGTCCTTTGACTCACTTTTCATGTTGGCAAAACATTCTAACTGCTTAATTGCTCATTAAAACTAATGACCTCCCTGCTACCACCTGTTTGTCAGACAATGTCCATATTTATTGCATCCCTGTCTTAGGTCACCATGTTCTCAGGGCCACATACATCCTTTCTTATCTTACTATGTCCTTGAAATCATTTGGGATGGTTACTGGGACAGCTATGTTTCTTCTCTAAAAGATTTTCTACAGTTTAACCATTTATAAACTACATAAAATCAGCCTTAGGTATCAGCATAAAGCAGTTGGGTCGCAGTCAGATCACGTGTGATGGGAAGTCAGGCATAAGGCTCCTTGTGCCCACACCTTTCTCTAGTCCTTGATAAATGAATCTTGGTGAAGCCGCCTGCTATTCACAGAACCGAATCACAGAACAGTTTGGGCTGGCAGAGCCCTTTACAGGCCATCTCGTCCAACCCCTTGCAGTGAGCACGGACATCTTCACCAAGGCCAGGAGGGTCACCACTCCATCCATGTGGTGCTCATGCAGTTGGGTGACCAAGGCCTAAGCCTGGCCACCACTGCTAGCTGTGTCACCCTGCTCCTCGGTGGGTTTCCAGAGGGCAGATGAGACCAGAGGATCTGTGGCTGCGGCTCAGCCTCCCCCTCCTCCAGAGCCTGCACCAAACCCTGCTGGTCTGGCCATGGTGCCCAGCGCAGCTGGCACAACCCCCAAGAGTCAGATTACAAAAACGGCACATAGCACCCCCAGAAAATCAAAATATGCCCTGCAGGAAGTTTAAAATAAAAAGAGGGAAACCAAAAACCACACCCAAGAAGTCAAAAAGACAGACCCCAGAAATAAAAAATAATAATAATTAAAAAAACCCAACAACAAAAAACCCCAATCACTCCCAAGAGATTTATAACAAACAGAAAGTCAGCTCCGGGACATTAAAAGGAAAAGAAAGAAAAACCGAGCCCAGCAGAGGGACGAGGGGGGGTGGGAAGCGCAGGGGCTGCGGAGGGACTGGGGTGGGGGGCAGCGGCATGGACCGCGCATGCGCAACGGGGCAGCCGACGCGTCCGCGCGGCACCGGCTCCGGGCGGAATCGCGGCGCCGCATCGCGGTTCCGGGGGGGAGCGGACCCGGGAAGGGAGATCGCAAGGCTCGGGGTCTGGGGGGAAGGAGGCTGCTGTGGGACGCGGGGCGGCCACAGGGCTGGCGTGGGGCTTCTATGGGGCTCCAGTGGGGCTCCTGTGGGGCAGGGAGTGGTGCGTGAGTCTCCTGGCCCTCCTCACGTGACTTTCCTACGTAACCCTCCCTCCCTCCGTTCGGGTGCTCGCAAGATGGCGGCGGCGGCGGCGGCGGTTCGGGGACGGCGTTTCAAGTGGTCGTTGGAGCTGGCGGCGGCGCCGGGGGGGCGGTGAGGCCCGAGAGAGGGTTGGGGAGGTGGGGAATTGGGCGGTACAGGGGTCTCCTAGCCTCACCTGCTCCCCTCTGTTGTCCCCCCCAGACCCCGTGGAGCCGCCGAGGGCCGTGGGCCGCTGGGGTTCGCCGAGCGGCAGCTGGGGGAGGGTGGCGTCCACGAAAGCGACAAAATCCTCATGGAGAAGGTGGGCGGGGCTGGGGGGGAGGGAGGGACACCCCCCGGACGCCGAGGTTCCCCGTGGGGGGGGAGGGTCCCTGTCCTGGACGACTGGGTCCCCTGCGATCGCGGCCCCCCACACACCCTGGACGCCCGGGTCCCCTCTTTTACTGCAGCGCTGCTGGGACGTGGCACTGGCGCCGCTGAAGCAGATCCCCATGAACCTGTTCATCATGTACATGGCCGGCAATACCATCTCCATCTTCCCTGCCATGATGGTCTGCATGATGGGCTGGCGCCCACTGCAAGCCCTCATGTCTCTCTCTGCCAGTGAGTACAACCCTGCACTACAGCCCTGCGTGGGTGGCCACTCCCCGGGTGCCCCCCCATGACCATCCCCTGCTGTATGATAGTTGCCCCATGTCCCTGCAGTGGTTCCCTGCCCCTGCAACAGTCTCCCCCTGCAACAGTCATGCTTGCATATTCCCCAGCAGCCACCCCTACCACAGCCCACACCACACGTGTCTCCCAATGTCATCTGCCCCCACACATCCCCAACAGCTGTCCCAATGACAGTGACTCCCAGATCAGTTTACCCACACATACCCAAACAGTTGCCCCCATGTCACTTGCCCCCATACATCCCCTAGAGTTGCCCCTGTGACAGTCACTCCCATGTCTGTCACCCCCCACACCCTTGTGACAGTTGTCCCTATTGGTCACTCCCACATGCCCCCTCACAGCTGCCCTCATTCCCTCTGTCCCTGTGCCATCTACTCTGTGCCTCCCCCATCATGCTTCCCTGCCACTCCCTACCTGTCATTCCTCCCAGTCCCCTGCAGTATTTGGTGTGTGGCCTGTGGGTGGCAATGACCAGTCTCCCCATCCTCCCTGCAGCACTGAAGGCACTGGAGAGCTCAAGCCGGCGGGCACTTCAGGGGCTGGTGTTCCTGGTGGGCAATGGACTGGGGCTGGCACTGGCCCTCTACAAGTGCCAGGCCATGGGGCTGCTGCCTACCCGTCCCTCTGACTGGCTGGCCTTTGTTGCCCCCCCACAGGTGTGTCCAGACACCAGGCCCATCCCGCCTCCGTACGCTGGGGTTCCCCCTGGCCTGGACACCCGGGTCCCTCCACTCACAACCTTTTTCTCTCTCTTCCCTTGGCAGCGGATGGAGTTCACTGGGGGGGGCCTGATCCTGTGACCCAATGCACCCACCGACCAATAAAGATGATGGCAGGCTGGTGATGTTATTTCTGGGGGAATTATAAGGGTTTGGGGCTCAGCCCAAGGAAGCATTGCGAAAGGTCAGAGCAAAAACCATTTATTGGTGGCATGTGCTGGGAGCACCAGGGGCTGTACTGGTGGTACTGGGGTCCATACTGGGAGTGCAGTGGAAGAGCACTGAAGTCTGTACTGGGAGTTTCCTGTGAGCCTTGGGGCCCTTACTGTGAGCACTGGGAGTTCACTGGGAACCTTGGGGCCTAAAATGGGAGTGCACTGCAGCTGCACTCAGAGCCTCAAGGCTCATACTGGGAGACTTAGAGCCTGTACTGGAAGCTCTGGGAGTCACACTGGGAGAGCACTGGAGCTGCACTCAGAGCCTCTGGGCTCATACTGGGAGCCTTCGGACCCATACTGGGATTGTACTTGGAGAGCTACAGCCCAGGCTGGCACTGTACTGGGAACACTGGGTCCATGGGCTCATACTAGGATCTTACTTTAACCGTAGCTCATGTTAGCATCATACTGGAAGCACTTGGTATACTGGGATAATACTGTGAGAGCTGTGGCCTAGACTGGCATTGTACTGCGAGAATTGGAGCATGTACTAGAACACAGCCCATACTGGGATCGTGCTTGAAGACCTGTAGCTCAGGCTGGCATTGTACTGGGAACGCTGGGGCCACACTAGGATGGTGGTGGGTGAGCCAGGAGGACCCATGTGGTGCTGGGATGTACTGGGCCATACTGGTGTGCTCAGGGGCAAGGGGCGTCCTTATTGCCCACACCACCAGTCCCAGTCGCTCCATCAGAACCTCCAGGAACTCCAGGTCTGACCCACATTGAGGGCCTGACCCATGGTTGCCCCCCAGGTACCCCCCACTACCCCGTAACTGCCTCCTTTTCCTCCCCAGCTACCCCATAGCTGCCCTGTTTGCCCCATTACCACTTATAGAGTCCCCCCACTGCCCCTTTTTTCCTTTTTTACCCCATTTTCAGTCCATTTCCTTCTATTTCTTCTTGGTGTTCCTTACTTTTTTCCTGTTTTTCTCCATATTTTTCCCAGCTTTTGTCCCTTTTGGCCTGTTCCCCTTATTTTTGCCATAGCCCCTATAACTGGCTGGTTTTCCCCCATGTTGCCTCATTTTTGCCTTTTTTCTCCTAGTTTTGGCTTGTTTTGCCTTGTTTGTGTCCCTTTGCATCCCTCCTGTTTCCCCAGTTTTCCCCATTTCTCCATTTCTTCCGTTTTCCATAATTTCTCTCTCTCCCTATTTCTTTTGGTTTTTTCCCTGGGTTTGCTCTGTCTCTATTTCTCCCCCTCCCTCCATTTTCCCCCAATTCCTCCCCCTAAGTTTTCTCCTCTACTGTTTTCCCCTGGGTTTAGTCTGTTTCTGCCCCATTTTACCCTTTCTTTTCCCGATGTTCTCCTGGTTTTCTCCCCACTTTTTGCCCATTTGTTCCCTATTTCCCTATATTTTTGCCTTCCCTCCCATTTTTCCCATTTTTGCCCCTATATCTTCTCTTTCCCACCTGTTTCCCATTTATCCGTTTCCCCCCCATTTTCTCCCATCTTTCCCATTGCCTACTCTTTGCCCCATTTCTTCCTCCATTCCCCCATTTTACCAATTTCCCCCTTTTTCCTATCTTCTGAGGGATTTTTTCACATTTCCACCCTTTTTTGTTTTTTTGTTCTCCATTTTTCTCGACCTCCTCCCAGTTTTGTCCCACTTCTTCTGCCATTCCCCCCCATTTTCCATTTTCTCCTGATCCCCTTTCTATTTTCCCCTGTTCCTTCCACTTTTTCCCATTCCCCACATTTCTCTTTCCATTGCCAGCACCAGCCAGCCCCCTTCCCTGTTCAGACACTCCACTGCATGTATGCAGCGTATTTTCCCCCTCCCCCATTGTGCACCAGTACACAGCAGTGCTTACTGGTGCCCCCCAGCATTTCCCCCCATCTCCCAGTGTGGCCCAGAGCCACCTCCTGCTTCCCATCACAGCCCACAGCCCTCCTGTCTGGTATGCATCAGTGCCTCCCAGCACCTTCCCAGTATGGCCCAGAGCCTCCCCATGCCTGCCAGGATGGGCCAGAGCCACAGATGTATGCCTCTCAGTATGGGTCAGTGCCCTACCAGGTCTCCCAGCATGATCTGGGGGCCCACAGTGATTCTTAGTATGGTGCAGTATATTACACTGCCTCCAGTACACCCTACTGTTCTGGTGCTTTCCGATACGCCTAAATTTGTCCCAGTGCTTTCCCAGGCCACCTCAGTCTCCCTAGTGGCACTCACAAGCTGGGGCCTTGATGGGGACTGTCCCCCTCCTACTCCTCTACACTGGGGGCCTGGGATGGGATGGGGCCTCCTTCTGACATCATCAGCGGGGTGACATGTGATGCTGTGCCTCGGTAACCTCGTTGCAGCCCTGCTGTGGTGTGTTGGCACATACTGTGTCCCATCTCTCCACCTGGGGTGGGGACAGGCAGCAGCCCTGGTTCCTGGCCCCTCCCCTCAAGTCTGATGTTATCTGATGTCATGCAATAATATCAACAGGATGTTGCCTGTGCAAGCTGCATCTGGTATAGTGTCCGGGAGCACTGCTCCATCATGTGTAGTTGTGCAGTAAGATGCCACTGTCCTGCTGTGGGAGGGGGCCCTGCCCGGGGCCCCATGGCCCCACCCTTCCCCGTGGCCCCACCCCCGTGCCCCTCCAGCCTGGCCTTGCCCACCAGCCCATGCCAAGGTGGCTGGCCCCTTTCACCTACCCCAGTCTCTCCTCCCTCCCTGGGTGGCCTTAAGTGAGGAAGTCGCCCTCAACCAGAATCCCCGCTTCTTTCACGATGGCCATGCCCCCCCACAGCCCATCCTCCCTCCCTAGTTGCCCTCGCAGAGGAAGTCCCGCCCCCTCCCACCAGGCCCATCCCACTCTACCAGGAGCTGCAAGCCCCCTCCTTCAGGCCCCGCCTACCTCCATAGGCCACACCCCTTTCGCTAGGAGGCTCGTCCCTGAGGGCATCACCCCCTACACTCTTCCCCTGACGCCCCGCCCAGTTAGCCACACCCATCACCTGGCCACGCCCCACCGAGTGGCCGTGCCCTTCCCACCCCGCCTTCCCCTGTCCCTACAAGCTCCCACAACCCGGGCCCACCCCCCCACTCCCTGCTAGCCCCCGCCCCCTTGCTGCCACATCCTGTCCTTTACTGGGCCCACTGCACCAGGAGGGTCCCGGGGGCAGCAGCTGCAGCGCTGGGCAAGGAGTAGAGCCCCTACCACCACCCCCATCCTCGGGCCCCGCACCCCTGACAGTGGCCCAGGGGACAGCCCCCTGCCACGCCCACTGGTGACTCTAGCAGGGGATGGAGCAGAGGGGCCTTGCACTCACAGTGGTCAAAGCTGTTGGTGGTGATGGGGGTGAAGGGACACGATGGTCCACACAGTCGGGAAGGGGGTGTGTGAGCTGTGACCTCCCAGCCCCTCCCTGGTACCAACAATTGTGACCTTGCCTTGACCTGTGACCCCCCCAGGGTCATTAGGCCGGTTCCATGCCAGTGACCCCAGAGGAGGTAGCTGGGGTCAGCATCAGCAATGGCACAGTGTGTGATGACAATTCTCAGTAATCTGTGCGGAAGTGTGGACGTGGTGAGGGCCCGCTGCAGTGGGGGTCCAGCTGCAGCAGGGGAGCTGGTGCACAGCACTGGGTGCTGATTCCTCCTTCCCAGACAAGTGATGGAGTCCTGCGCTACCACCTCTGTGCATGGAGTTCATTGTGCTGGCTCTAATCTTCTATCCTGTTCATATTCTCTTCTGTTTGCTAACAGCCTGTTGTCTCTCCCCTGTATTGTTGCCTGCTCTTCCCCACTATTGCCTAGCTCTGTGTTCTTGTTTTGGCTCGGAGGAGATTGACTTGCATCAGCTGGTGCTGTGCTGCAATTTGGGATGGGAATGGTGTTGGTAGCACACTGGTGGTTTTGGTTGTTGCTGAGTTCTCAAGTTCTGCTCTTCTCCTCCCTGCCAGCAAGGGCTGGGGGGGACACAAGGAGTTGTGGGGAAACTCAGCTGGGACAGCTGACCCTGACTGACCACAGGGACATTCCATACCATCTGATGTCATGCTCAGTATATAAAGCAGGGAGGAAAAAGAAGGAAGAGGGGGACGTTTGGAGTGATGGCATTTGTCTTGCCAAGTCACCATTAGCCATAATGGAGCTCTGCTTTCCTGGAGATGGCTGAACGCCTGCCTGCTGATGGGAAGCAGGGAATGAAATCCTTGTTCTGTTTTGCTTGTGTGCACGGCTTTTACTTTACCTATTAAACTATGTCAAGTCATAAGTTTTCTCTTTTACTCTTCTGATCCCATCTCTCCTATCCCACTGGGCAAGTGAGCGAGTTGCTGCATGGTCCTAGCTGATGGTTGGGGTTAAACCATGACAGTGTCCCAGTTGTCAGCTATCTCTACCAGGTATTAAATCTTTCTTACCCATTTTAAACTTCTGCACTGCCATCATCTCTCTATATTGACTTCATTTTACCTTGCAACTCTGAGTCAAAGAGTACACATCATAGTAGAACTGCTTCTCAGATGTACAATTTTTTTTTACCTTGGAAATCCCTCTGTCTATGAGTTGCAAGTTGTATATGTTTTAAGTTTTAATGATAGGGAACACGGAGGCTGTCTTATCTGGATTAGACTTAGGTAATAAGGGGGGAGCAGAAGGCCCAGTGGCAAAATCAAAATCATCCTCCTCATTATCAGTTTTTAGTGTGCATACCTTGTCAACAAGCTAACTTTGAGATTTCTTGCTCTAGCTGTCATAAAGCCAAGGTCTAAAGTTCATTTCTGATTGTCATGGTAATTGGCTGTTAATATGGCTATGAGATTCAAAGGCAGCTGCTCATGCTTCTTCATTTTCAGCTCGCTGCAAAGCATCTTGTAACGTGTCTTGAGCTTCCTGTGTGGAAGTCTTTAGTAAAGTGCCTGCAGCTGTCAATACATCTTCAAAAAAGCCCTGTGACAGGTCCCTTGCTGTCCTTTACATACACACATTTCCTGCACTCCTAAAATACTGGTCATGTTGTTTCCCAAACAAAAAAAATTTCAGCCACCCAGGTCCTGTCCCACCCAGGTGTTTTCCATCCCCTGTCTTCTTGGTATTTTCGCTGTTCTGCTGCTGCTTCATCCTAAGCATCCATGGCCTGTGTATTTTACAGAATCCCATTTCTGACACTAATTGCTGTAATGATCTATAGGAGAGTAAGTCTTATGACGAGAGGCTGAGGGAGCTAGGGTTGTTCAGTCTGGAGAAGAGGAGGCTGAGGGGAGACCTTATCGCACTCTATAACTACCTGAAGGGGGGATGTAGAGAGGCGGGGGTTGGTCTCATCTCCCAGATCACAGGAGATAGGACAAGGGGAAATGGCCTCAAGTTGCACCAGGGGAGGTTTAGAATGGATATTAGGAAACATTTCTTCACAGAAAGGGTTATCAAGCATTGGAATAGGCTGCCCAGGGAAGTGGTTGAGGCACCATCCCTGGAGGTGTTCAAAAGACGGGTAGGCACCAACCATTATGATCTCTACATGCCCACAGGCTGGATAACTCTTTAGGCCATGACATGAATGCTCCTGTGTTCTTTGCTCTGTTCTTTCCTGGATTCTGGCCTCTGATAGAAGCAGTGGAGCCATTTCTGGCAAAGAAGGAATGGATAGCTAAGCTGCCCTGCACTGCAAGAACAATGGAAAGCATGGCAGTACAAGTCCGTGATCACAAAGCCATCATGGAGTCGGTGCTTGTGCCTTTGCCAGGGATGTCCTGGAGGATGGAGCTGGAGGCCTTCCCTGGTGGCAGGAGATATCCCTGGCATCTCCAGCTACTGGCAGATTTCTGCAAATCTCTGTAGGAAGGCAGTCTTGGGCAACTAGTCTTCCTCGGGCTGTTTCCCTTTTCCTGTGCTTGTCTACAAACCTGGCAAAAAACATTTTCAGGGATGCTCTGAGCTTGCTGAAAAGGCAGTTCCTCTGGACCTTTGTCAGATCTTGGCTGAAAGAGCTGCGGTGGCCTGTTTTGTTGCAGGTGCGTACCCTCCCTTCCGCAGGTGGCCTGGTAAGAAGCAGAAAACACAGGTGGAAGAGCCATTTCCTACCTGGTCCCAGGCCCAGACCTGCCTGGGCTTGAGTCCATACTGAACCTGACAGACAGGTCTTAGCAGGACCGAGGCACTTGAGGCTGATATGTGGGTAGAAGGGGGAGTGGCAGAGCCCCACTCTCCTATGCAGTGACTGGAACAAAGCACACCCTTGGGTAAAGGGCAGCTTGTAGTGAGACGTCTGTGCTGGCATATGTCAGCTGTGGCAGGGACTTGGTGTGAGCAGAGTGCTGTGAACAGGGAATAGGGCCCTCAGAGGGGGAGGGAACCTAGGATGGGGACCAGGATGTGGGGAGGGAGTGGTAAGTGGAGGTGAGGCTGGACAATGAGGAAGTTCAGCGGGTGATGCCCCTTGTCCTGCCACTGCCCAGCTTTGCTTGCTGCCCCCACCCCCAGTGCTGCAGTGCCCTTACAACGTGTCCAGCACTGCAGCTTCCCCCAGTGGCACTTCTTTGTTTGGCTCCTTCTGCTCCAGCAACCTCCCTCCATTAGCTCCCTTTCCTCCAAGGAGCTTTCACTGTCTTGTCCACCCTGTCTGATTTACAGTGAGAGCAGCTGGGCCCAGTGGTTTCTCTGGTGTGGCAGGAGGAAGGGGCCAGCCTGGCCACTGTGGCAGAGCTGCTGCCATCCTCACTGAGCACCTCTCCTGGAGGGCCTTCCAGGGATGGACACACTCCTGCCTGGCACTCATGAAGGCCAACATGGCAGTGAAGCCATATGTTGAGCAGAGCCCACATCACATTGAATCAAAATCTAAATAATTACTCAAGAGTATGCCTGTTCCATCATGGAACTTTTTCAGAATGGAGCCTATCAAGCCTGAAACCACTGCTTTAGAGTGCTTCAGAACACATTCTCCAAGACAATACAAGAGCTGTTTAAGTGTTCACCGTACCCTTCATGGTCTTCCTGAGACTCTTATATCTGAAGCCACAATATTGGCATGACTTAGTAGCCTTTTGCCTTAAGTATTTGTAAATTTCTCTTATCCAAAACTTTTTTTTTTCTAATGTCACTTTTTGCTGTCCTAGGATCTTGTCCTCTCTGAGAAAGGCGCCTTGTCTTGAAACACGTATACTTCTGTACTGCTTTTGGCTGGGACAGTTAATTTTCTTCATAGTAGTTCTACAGAGCTGTGTTGGATTTGTGATGAAAACAGTCTTAATCACATGCCCATATCTCAGCTGTTGCTGAGCAGTGCTTACACAGCATTAAGGCCTTTTTTCTGTTCCTCATGCTGCCCCCCATTTCGAGCAGGCTGGGGGGACACAAGAAGTTGGCAGAGGACAAGCCAGAACAGCTGACTCCATTGACCAACAGGATATCCCACATCATATGGTGTCATGCTCAGCAATAAAACCTGCAGGGAAGGAGGAAGAGCGGACATTTAGAGTGATGGTGTTTGTCCTTCAAAGTCAGGGTTAGGCATGCTGAAGCCCCGCTTTCCTGGAAATGGCTGAACACCTGCCTGGCAATGGGAAGTAGTGAAGTAATTCCTTACGTTGTTTTGCTTGCGTGCACAATCTGCTTTGCCTATTAAACTGTCTTTATTTCATCCCATGGCCCTTCTCACTTTTCCCCTTCCGGTTCTTTCCCAACACCACCTGGGGGGGCAAGTGAGCGAGCAGCTGGTGGGGGGCTTAGCTGCCCACCAGGGTTAAACCACAACAGATCTATAAACATATTTGGTATGCATATATTAAAGTCATAGGCTATTAAGACTGTTAGGCACTTGGGTGACAAACCATCAGACCCAGAACTCCTTAGTCTCTATAGATGAAATACCAGTTGAGAGGGTCTACTACTTTCCTATTACAGGCTGCACCTGAATTACCTAAAAGTGCCTTAATTCATGTAGGACATCATATTTGCCACAAAGCCACACTAGGCATAACTACTCTTATTCAGGATTTAGAACATTGGGATATTATTCAGAAAACTCATTCCCTGTATAACTCTCACATGTGGCCATCCATAAGCCAAACAGCACCCGGTGTTTGGCAGTAGGTTATCCTCAACTGAATGAAAATACTGGGCACAACACACTGCTGCCCTATCTATCATAGATCTTATTTTTCTATAGAGAGAACAGTCTATCCTTGGCTGGCTGCCCTGGATATTAAGGATATGTTTTTCATGGTCCTATTACAACATGATGATCAAAAGAGATTTGCTTTCACCTGGAGCAGAATAGAGTACACCTTCACCTTATCACACCATAGATTCAAACACAGGCCTACATTGTCACATCAGGTTTAGGTAAGGAATTAAGAACAAGTTCCACAGGAACAAGGAGTGATAGTATATCAATATATAGAAGACATTCTAATTGGACGGATTCTCCTAAGGTCCAAAGAATGCGTGGTGGCATCCTAGCCCATCTGGAAGGTAAGTAGATTACTACCTTTGAGGCGAAATGATAGGGATCTAGCCAAAAGGATCCATTTTTAGGCACAACTTGGCAAGGTGGCAGACGGAATATTCGCTCTGATACCTTGCAACAAATTATCCAAGTTAAATTCACCTTTTGCTAAGAAGTTTTGACACATCCTAAGAACTTTAGGATTCTGGCAAGCTTGTATCCACAATTCAGCATAATTGCCGGAACTTTATGCAATCTGCCAAAGAGCTGTAGTAGATGGGAATGGACAGTAACTCATGTAGAAGTGTTTCTATTATTGATGCACAGTATTTTAGAATATCAGCCCATGAGCCCAATTACAGGGGTCCCCTTCAGCCTACATTAGGAGCATTTAGCTTATGAAATCCCTCTCAGGAAAACAACCAATCACAATCCTCTTCACAAATCAAGCTGCTTTGCTAAGAAATACTGCCTATTTTGACATCAGCATAATCAGTGCAAGGTAAGAATATTGCAGGCAGCCTATGAGTAAAGTAACATTCCCGAACTACTGAAACACAACAATTTGTCATGCTAAAAAGAGCTCAATTCAAGATATGACAAAACACTACAAGCACTGGTATGAGGCAGTAACAGGCATTGTAAAAAGTCTGCTGCAACTACAATTCAGTTTCTAGCTCACAGAATAAATATGGCATTGTTCCTGTTTTACTTTGTGTAAATTCAAGATCCAGAAAGTTCCAATTGAAGCAGAAACTGGTACAGGCCTGCTGGATAAAGCTAAACTGCCCTTCCCCCTTCTCTTCCTCTGTTTCATGTTTTACAGCTGAGTTGCTACACATTTAGCAACCTGAAAAACACATGGGCTTGTCTTTTTCATTTTCTTTTGCTTTCCCTCAATACAAATTGATTTTAAAGGTGGAGGAGGGAGCTAGCTTAAAACAAGCGCCAGGGAAATAATACCGCATGACCTCTAGTTAAGTAATGATTATTAAAAATAAATCACTACCAGAGTTAAGTGACACAACTGCTATTCCATTTATTTCAAATCAAAGTGTTTGTGAACTGGATTCATTAAAGACTTCATTTTTCATACAGACAGGTTCAGTAAGGTTGATAGCCATAGCATGTGGCAGCTTAGAGATAGCTGCATAACAAAGCAACTTGCAAGCGCTTAACACTTGGTACAAAATAGAGACGGACTTTTTTTCTAAACAGTGCAAGAAATGTTCCACCACAAGTCACTGCTTGATGGCACTAGGGAGTATTCTGTGACCAGAATTCACCTGCAGGGCAAATAGACATCTTCCCCATACTCCCATCTAGGCTATTGTTCTCAGGTCAGATATACTGAAATGAAACTTTCTAGAACCATTTAGTCAGATGTCTGCCTCTGGCACAATGTTTAATTAAAAAATAGGGGAAAGCAGCTACAGTCCATTTAATGTTTTCATATACTGAGTTTTCTTAAGTGTTCATATACTGTCCAGCTTCTTCAGGATGAAAGGAGCTGAAAAGAGAAAATAAAGCAGCATGAACTTAACACAGCTGAAGATAACAAGAAATCTGCAATGAGTCTGATGAAACTGCAGCACGTTTATGTGGCATATAAAACATTCAAACTCTGGGTGAGATTCCACCCTCTGCCTCCCACGTGGTCCCTTCTCTCCCTGCACGATTCCTTTAAGGGGTGAGACAGCACGGTTCAAGGGGGGAAGCGGGTATGCCCGCTTCTGCTGCAGCTCAGAGCTCCCGACACCACCAGGGGCGGGGGAGGGGGAAACACCCAAACGTGACTTTTTGTTTGCTGACCAGAAGGGCACCCTGAAAGGAAATCTGGAAGCCTCTGATGCAACACACTAAGGCACCGCCCGCAGGGCAGCCAGCGTAGCCCGGTTCTTTCATAACCTAGAAGAGAACCGGCACCGCTGTTCGCCTAACCCCAGCACTCCAGGCGCCGCAGGGAATGCCGCCGGGCCTCTCCCGCTCCCCGGAAACGCGCCCGGCCACCAGGCCGCGGCTGACCGCGAACTCTCCCGCGCCGTCTCCGCGGACACGGAGCCGGGCACAGGCCGCGAAAAGGCGCCGATTCCTCCCGGCCCGCCGCGGGGACGCAGGCCCCGGCCCGACCGCTTCCCACCGCCCCGCGCACTCACTGATCCGCAGCAGCGCGACGTAGATAAGGAAGTTGCGGACGGAGGTGAGGACATCGCGGCGCATCTTCCGCCTCAGTTCCTCCGGGTCCATCTTGGGCCCCAGCCCCTCGATGCGGAACATACCGGCGGCCCCGTGCGCGCCGGCGGCTACGGCAGGCGAGGAGGGACACGCACGGCCGCCGCAGGGGACGCCGGATCTCGTGACGAAAGCGGGCTGTGCCGGCGGCGGCGCATGCGCAAGGAGGCGGGGCCCTCGCTGGTGCCCCAGTGTCCGCACGGTACCGGAGGGCGGAGCTCCCCAGGAGGGTGGAACTCTCGGGCGCGGAGCCTCTCAGAGGGGCGGAGCCTTCCTCGGCGGCAGGGGCGTGGCGCACCGGCGGCCCGGCCCGGCCCGGCCCGGCGGGGCTGCGTTGAGGGGTCAGTTCGCGGACCCCCTCTGCCGAGGGGCGCCGGCGGCCGTGCCACCTGTCAGTGCCAGGCCAGAAGCTCAGACCCGGATCTGACCGAGAACCCGGGAGCTGCGGGGGTCCCCGCAGATTCTATTTACAACGGGACTTAATAGATCTCTGTTTTCTCTAATTGTAATAAGGAGTTCATGTGACTGTGTGTCACAGCAATATATGGCTCTGCTTGCTTTCCTGAATCATGCACTGCTTCCTGAGTTATGCATCATTGTCTTTGGTACCGCTGCTAATCAGGAGAGTTTGTTACTGCTTCAGCTAGTGCCTGTCTTACGTGTGCTGCTTCATTCTGTACACAGAAGCCTTCACCCCAGAACAGAACCCCATCGTGCAAGGTCTTGCACAAAGGTGTGATAAATGATTTTTCCTCAAACAGGACTCCAATTAGAATTTACAATTTATTAAATTAGTAAAGACAAGCAAACAGCGCTGGGTGCACCGGGAGTCTCCGCTCAACCAAGGCACACACGTGCAAGTCCCGTTTTGGGGTTTATATTGCTTCTCCTAATACATATTCATACAAAGGTTGGCCTATGCTAATGTAGGCGTGTCTTCTTTGGCGCATGCCCTCCTCACCTTCTGGAATCTTCTATGTGTTTTCCTTGGCTGGCCCCCAGGACACCCCCCGACCCCAGGCGTGCGCCCCACAGACCCCTCCCGCTCAGCACCATGTGGCCAGTAACAAAAAAATGGTTTCCTTAGGGGTTCTTACAAGAAACAGAAACTACATACATACAATCCCGCTTCTCCCAAGCCCATGGTCATACAAGAACAAACAGAACAGTTAAAGATATTAACACGAATCAGATGAACACATTTCACAAAGGCAACCCTGTTCCCAAAGCCACTCTAGGGAGACTGTTGGAGGCCAGTAATATTTAACAGGTACAAGGGATGTACCTGAGTGGGCCAGGGATGTTGACTTTGGAGAGGCCCCTTGCCCACCACAAAGCCCGTCTCTAGGAGCTGGAGATCATGAGAAGCTGGGCTGTGGATGATGCAGGATAATGCATAACTGTTAATGCTGACTTGAATTGTGCCTTTTTTTAGGGATAGAGGAGCTGGTTCAGGCCTGAGTCCTGGCTCACTCAGGGAACTGTGTACACAGCCCTCAGTCCTCACTTTTGAGCTTTGTCTGGACCACATGGGCTTCAGCTAGCCAAGCCCTACAGCTCCTGCCTATGGCAGGCAGCCAGCAGTGTTTACAGGAGCACTCCTCAAATGCCAAAATACCATCAGAGAAGACACAGGGGCTAGTGATGCCTGGAGAGGATCAAGCACCAGGCGGCATCTGGTGGCTCTCCCTACTACCCCCACAAGACGCCTGGGTTCCTCAGCCCACCCTGTTCTGCCTATGCGCCCTGGCATCAGGCAATGCACAGTTGGCAGATAATTCAAAAAACCGGATTTCTCTCAGCTAAGCTGCCTGTGACCTGAGGCAAAGCTAATTACAGAGCAGATGCTTTTGTTGTGCCAGTGACTAACAGCACTAGACTGGAGATTAGGAGAGGGTTCTTCACTGTGAGGGTGGTGGAGCACTGGAACAGGTTGCCCAGGGAGGTGGTTGAGGCCCCTTCCCTGGAGATATTCAAGGTGAGGCTCGACGAGGCCCTGGGCAACCTGGTCTAGTTGGGGGTGTCCCTGCTGACTGCAGGGAGGTCAGACTAGATGAACTTTGGAGGTCCCTTCCGGCCTGGACAACTCTATGAGCACTAGTTGCAACTCCCACTGGCTAGAGGAGCATTCCTGCCTTTCAGGGGCCTCCCTGACTTTGCAAAGGATGGCCAAGGAGGGGTGTTCCCAAACTACCCTCCTCCCACCACATTTGCAGGATTTTCAATCCCAATCCCCAATGAAAATGAAAGGGCAACCTCTTCTGGTCACAGAAGTTGTAAGACTACCCTTGTAGACAGCTTTACAGAAAGGCCCTGAAGGAAAATAAAATTTAGCTGCCCAGACCTGCATGTGACATAAACTAGCCTTGTTCTGCTGGCTTCCAGGAAATCTTGTTGATTTAGTTGGGATTTCTCTGGTGTTTGCTAGCAGAAACAGATTGGCAGGTCCCAAGCCCATCTTGGCAGAAAAGCAAGGAGTGTCATCCTACATTTCAAGCCTGTTGGTCCTCCCATTCCTGCTTTGTATGTGAAAAGCAGAAGTGATGCTCTTTCCCCAGGCATTGCTCTGGAGAAGCTAAAGGAACTTGGGCAAATCTGAATCAAATTGACACAGTATTGAAAAGAGATTGGAGCAAGGAGAAGACAAGAAAATGATGTTAAGGAGCAATGTGAGTGAGGACTCTGCCAGGACATCAACTGGAAAGTTGTTGCCACAAGTTGTTTCCCTGGAGCCATCCCATTCTCTTTTTGTGAGATGGGGGGGATGAGAAACATTTCCTTTGGGAGACATCCACATTGGATAGGGAGGAGGCTTCAGGTGTGGAATGACTCACAAAGAACAGGTTGCATTGGCTTTGGGTTTTGACAGCAGTAGGAACAACTTCCTGAGCTGTCCTTGAAATGTTTGTGGCAATTTTCCAGAATTCTCTCAAACATCCAAGTTTTGACAGCTCATACCGTGTCCTTAGTTTTACTCAGTCCTGCAATTGCATAAGAATTTTACCTTTCATTTCCCGGCACTACAGGCAGATTACCGGCCACTGACTGGGCGTTGGCTTGAAGTTAAGGTCTCTGAACAGAACACGGATGACTGCATGACATGGTATGTGAAATGGCCACATATGGCAGGTAACTGAAAAGCTGACAAAAGCTGCAGATAATGCCACAAGGGACAGCTGCATCTCCCAAATGGTTATGGAGTAGTGATGTAAGGAAAGACCAAAATTCACAGATAACTGCAGAGAAGCACTGGGTCCTGTGGGGCCAAGGCCAGCAATTCCTCAGTGACTGTGTTGGTAATAGCACATAATGCCAGGATTACCTAGGTCATTGTGTCAGAAATACCAAGCTGGACATAGATGTTTCTGTGTCACTGTGTGGCCCCTAAGGTGTTGAGCCCGAGGTGCCCAGAGGTGTGGGGAGCCCACAAGGGTCTCAGGGCAGAGGCCAGACCACTGCTCTGAATGAGCACTGTCCTGCTTCTCCTTCTCTGCCTGCTAGACATCAGGGACTGTCATCCTGCCTGAGGTCCCCACCAAACAAGATGTAGCTGGTGAGGTTGCTGGGGAGATAAGACCTACAGCAAAGGGCATCAGGGTAGAACGTGACACTGCTGTGAAGGGGGAGGTGTCCAGCCCAAGGTCCCCAAAGAACTCAGCCATGCATGTGGTTGGCATCCTCTCTTCACACTGTATCTCTCCGGGCCCCACTGTGACCACAATCATGCCGAGGTGAGGTGAGTCTTCCTGCCCTGGAGTTGTTCTGCTATGTTTTAACAGCACTATGTGGATTTACATTGCTGGAGTGCCTGCTCTAGTGTGGTCTTGCCCCTTTTTATCAACCAGTTTACATACGCAGAGGATACCCCATAGCCCTGAATGCTGCCTTATTTCTTTTTACTTGCTACACAGAAAAATAACATCTCTCCCACAGTCCTAGTGTCAGCTAAGGATATCACTCGCTCCGGGAGTACTGTGCCAAATGTACCCCTTCACGACAATCTATGCAGTATCCTACCCTATTCCTAGAAGAGATCAGATGTATTTTTAAAAATCTTTCTCTGCTTAAGCTCTTTGTCATTTTGCTTCCCCTTTGGATTAGCCATCCAGTTGACAGCCCTGATAAGCACAGTATTAGAAGGAGCAGATTCAGTTTGCATTTTGGAGTCTGTCATTTAATGAAGTTACCTGTGCCAGAGAGTCTTCCCCCTTGTACAGACACCAGGAGTCCTGCTGGAAAGGTGATTTGGCACTGCTGACTTCCCTGGCCCTAAGTAGCTGCCATTAGCTGCAATCCATGCCAGAAAGTCCCCCTGGAATTAGTTGAAATGAAAAGACTTTAGACTTGGTGAAGTCAGGTGTGTATACACCTTGTGTATAGCCAGGTGCCTATCTTGCAGACTTTTTCTCTCCAGTGAGATGGGGATGATGTTACCTGCCTCAGAACTGAGGACAGGGGATAAATGTATGGAAGACGACGCCACCTCTGGGTGTCCATTACCATAGCCCTGGACAGTATGACTACTGAGTGACCAATGGGCACTGATCTTGCTGTACAGCTGCCCCAGACACCATGTACAACAGCTGCATTTAGCTGTGCACCATCTGAGTAGACAAACTTGCTGGAAACTTGCAGAATGCTGTATAACAGTCCTTGTCTTCTTTCCTGACCTTCACACCACAGGCTGCATATCCACAGGCTGCTGGAAAACACAGGAAACAAAGAGGAAAGCTGTTCCCTAGTGACTGTCCAAAAAAAAAAACCAGCTTGTGGACTCAAATGGCAGACCAAGCTTCACAGGCAATACTGCCAGGGCAATTCTGCTTGGGAGGGTCTGCCAGACCATTCTCCTTTATGAGGGAGACATACCTTGCATTAAATGAACCAGCCTAACTCAGACACTCCTTGCCCTGGTTAAGCCTGGGTTAGACACCTGTATCTTCGTATGCCTGTGTAGCACTTCCTGCATCAGTCCTAGGCTCTGCATGCATCTGCTCTTTAGCCACATCTGCTTTTAGACCAGCCGAACTGAAAGTAGTGGGTACGGACACTCCAGCTGCAAGGTGCATCAGCTGCAAGGAGCATCAGACTTGGGTAGCAAGGGCCATGCAGACTCTTTGTGTGTCTGTTCACCAGGAG